ATTTATAGTATTTTCCAAGTGTATTAGCAGGTCTCTTATTTGACATTTTGATATGCTGTTGTTTAATTGCTCACGGCCGATCCGAGCTAGAGGGCTGTTGACCTTAGAGCTCTATAACACACATAATTCAAACAAAAGCTCTAATGAGTCTCGTTTTCTCATTTGAACTCTGCAGCTCCAAAGCCGCTGAGAACAGCAGACTTGATTTTTCTGATCTGTTATACAGAAATTGTGTTGTCAGTATCAAATTCTCCCACCTGGAGTAAACCCACTACACTCACTTCCTAACTGAGGTTTGTGCTAGGACTCTCTGCTCTATGCATATCTGTGCTCTGTGCCTTCGGGGAGTCAGGCCCTTGGGATGTCTGTCTGTGGTATTCTGGGCCTTGTTGAAGAAATCAGTTTTTTGAAATGGGAGAAATTTTTGGCTCATTTGTGAACATTCTATTTCTTGTATCCCTTCATATACATTTGTAGATAGGAAAATTGTTCTACGTAATATACTCTGTTACCATTGTCTTTTTAGAACTCCTTCTAGGAGGTGAGAGACAGGAGTGATTTCAAGCAGAAGGAGTCCATACCCTGTGATTCAGCAGCTTGCCAAATCTTTCCTGTATTCTCAGTCCCTATCTTGCTCTCCATGCACACACAATCTCCTTACTCTTAAAATAGCAGGTATGATTTTTCACTTTAGTTTATCTAATTTGGTAATACAGTCTGCATTTTAAAAGGAAAGTTGGGGCTACATTTTTGAGTGTGAAACTAGATGATTGCTCTTGTGAAATTGTATTTTAGAAAAGAAAAAACGAGTTTTTGTTTAGCAAATTCCTGGGCTAATTCAATATTTGTGCTTTTGCTTAATTTAACAAATGGGTGCAACAAGTTTTCATATAGATATCTAAGGTTTTACAGATTGTAATTTAGTGATTCCACCCTTTTGGTAGGATTGTGATGAGTGGGAGTTTTCTATGACAATGAGCACCTTAACAGTGTTTGTAAATTAATAAAAACTGCTTTTTGAGAAATTGGCATATTTTAGAGATTTTATCATTTTTCTAGAAGTTTCAGGATTGCAAGAATCTTTTCAACAGAGTAAGTTAAGGTCAGTGTTAGACACTGTAAATCTACTCTGCTAAAAGCTGACTCATCTCTGTATTTGCTACAATGGTATTTATTTGCCATGAGATCTACTTTATGCAGTGATTAGCTATAGAATGTTATTATGTTGGCCTTAAACTTTCTGAGACTCCTTTTACAGAATGGCATTGTGAAACCTTTTTTCTGTATCAAATCCATGTCTTCATTGTATTTGTGGTCTTTTAAATTTGATACAACCATACCAGTTTCCTTATTTCTGTGTTACTCTTTGAGCTTCCTCGGTCTTAAAAATTAAATAGTTTCTTCTGATTCTTGATGTTACAATATGGAAGTTTTTTTAACTTAAGAAAATATCAGGGACCTCTAAGTGACTGTTGTAAAGTTATTTTCCAAATTGCCCTAAAATATCTAAGCTGATCCTAAAGAACAATTGTAAAATCATATCAGTGACTTACAGGTGAATGTGTGAATCAAATCAAATAAATATTTTCCCAATTCTCCCCCTTTATCCCCACCCCCCCAACTTAAACTAATTTTAAAGAATCTACTGTTTCTTTTACTTTGCCTTTTATACAGTTTTGTAGATTTTATTTAATACAAGCCTGCAGATGTGAAGACAGTTTAATCAGTGTTATATGTGTTACATTAATGCTAGTTCATGTCTCTCTGTAGATTAATCAGAGGACTAGTGATGGAGATTGGGCTGCTGCTACAGGTCTGGTATGACCCAGAGACATTTGTGTCCCATGTAGCTCTAGATTTTCTGGTCTCTGGACTTCTATATCACATGACAGCAGCTTATCAGTTGTTGAGGTTGTCTTGACACTTTAAGGGGCTAGTATTTGAATAAAGACCCTAATTATTTTATTATTGCTGTAGTGACATTAATCATTCATAATTAAATCATCTTTATGATATTAATTAGTTGAATATTTGTAAGGATGATTTGTTCTAGAATTTGAAAGCAATATCTTGAAAAGTACAAACATGCATATTAATTAAAACCTTAGATATGTAAAATAGAGACCAAGCTCTTATTTTTCTAAGAGTGTATACTATTAATATTTGGAAGGATAGTTGGTGAAAGAAATTCACATGCTCTAAATTTGTATGTCTGTTTAATGAACGTTATCTGCTCCTTCCAGGACTGATAAATATCAACAAGGTGGAGCAGGAGGGATATGTAGACTTATTCAAGGCGTATGGTAGAAATATTCAGGGTGGTTTGTTCAGGCATAGAAATAAAAAAAAAAAAATTAAGGCATAAGCCAGGCTCAGAGAAGTCTGGGATTTAGAGATTTTCAGTAGCTACCATTAGAAAAACAGAAGGACTTGATTCTTTAGCATTTTTTTAAACATTTGATAGAATTGTTAAGCTTTCAGTGGTATATATGGAAAGCTTTCTCTCTGCCTGTGCACTGATAGGATTGATCATTCATTTTCTCACATTTGATAAAACCTTGGCCTTGAGATATCATATTAGTTAAGTAGGTATGTAAAAACAGTACCGTTGTAGTCAACACTGAATGTGAAAGTTAGTTAGGATTGCCAGGGCACTTCCTTGGGAGTTTTGGGCAGTGCTGGAAGAATCTTAGTTACTCCAACAACTTTAGAATCTATAGTTGCTTTAAAATACATTACCATATCGTGGCTAGTAACCCTATTACGACAGTTTAGTGGTGTGGGTATTTTCAGTTGTCAAAGTGATCGGAGGCACTGCTAAATGCCCATAAAGAAAGGGACAGTCTTGCACAGGAGGAGTTGGCCAGTCCAAAATGCAATGGTCCTCTGTTGAGAGACTCTGCCCAAAGTCTCTCTTTGTTTCTTTTTTCTTTTTTTTGAGACAGAGTCTTGCTTTGTTGCCCAGGCTAGAGTGAGTGCTGTGGCGTCAGCCTAGCTCACAGCAACCTCAGACTCCTGGACTCAAGCAATCCTGCTGCCTCAGCCTCCTGAGTAGCTAGGACTACAGGCATGCGCCACCATGCCTGGCTAATTTTTTTTGGTATATATATATATATATTTTTTTTTAGTTGGTCAATTAATTTCTTTCTATTTTTAGTAGAGATGGGGTCTCACTCAGGCTGGTTTTGAACTCCTGACCTCGAGCAATCCACCCGCCTCAGCCTCCCACAGTGCTAGGATTACAGGTGTGAGCCACCACGCCCGGCCTCTTCTTTTCTTTTAACACTGCTTGTTTTTAGTATAGTTTAATAAAGAACTTAATTTAAAAATATCATTTGAGAAATTAATGTCAGATTTGCAATGATTTTGATATTGTATAAGATTTTAGATATATATGCCAGGTGCAGTGGCTCATGCCTATAATTGTAGCACTTTGAGAGGCCGAGGTGGGAAGATCACTTGAGGACAGGAGTTTAATACCAGCCTGAGCAATACAGCAAGACCCTCTCTCTACAAAAAATAACAAAAATTAGCAGAGTGTGGTGGTGTGTGCCTGTGGTCCCAGCTGCTGGGGAGGCTAAGGCAGGAGTTTGAGGCTGCATAGTTTGTGAGCTATGATGACACCACTGTACTCTAGCTTGGGTAACAGAGTGAGACCTTGTCAAAAAAAAAAAAAAAAAAGGTATATAATTTGATGATGTTGTGAGTTAGGAGGGAGAAAGAAAAAATGAGGATCTGGTTTTTAGCAACGAGGATTAGAAGGGACAGAGAGAAGGGTCCACCCACACAGATATATAGAGACCATTTAAAAGAAGGTATAAAGATCTTCTTTTCTCTGAGAAGAAATAATGAATGCATTCTTAGCTGGACAAAGAGGGAACAGATAGTATAAAAAGTCAGAGAAGCTTATCAATCATGAAACAATCTGAATTGTAACTTTTTATTAAGACAAAGTTGAGATTCATTTCAGTCCTCTCAAGGGTTTTTTTAAAAAATAAAAAAACATTTAGATTCATTGAGATAATAAAACAAGGAATAAAATGTTTTAAGTACTATTTTAGTTGTCTGGTAGCAGCTGTCAGGATATCTCAGTTGTTATAGTTGTGCTGTGAGCTAGCATAGACAAAAGGTGAGGAAAAGAGAAGAGAAAAGTGATAAAGAGGAAAAAGCAAATGAAAGGCAGATGGTGAGAAGAAGGCAGCACCTCAGAAGACAGCAACTCCATCCTCCCATGCCCTCAGGACACAGCCCTCAGGGTCATCCCTGACCTTTTTTTATGCCTAACTTCTAATCCTGCAGCAAATCTTGGGCAGTCTATTTTAAAAATATATCCAGGATCCAGTTACTTTTTACATCTCTTCTTCTGCTTGGACCAGTCCCTCATCGTCTCTTGCCCAGATTGGGCATCAGCAGGCCCCAGCCCTGTGAGGCTTCTCACTCTCTCCTCCGTCTGCTTATGGCATTTCTTCCCATACGTTCATGGCTCGCAGCTCTTCTATTTCCTAGCCTTTAGGCAGATGTCTCCTTCTGGGTCCTTCTCTGACCAGATTGTTGGATTTGTAGGCATAGAGATAGAGACAGAGATTGTAATTTATATCTCCCTTTTCATAATGCCTCTTTATTTCTTTATAAAGTACTTTTTATCTGATATACCATATATTTTACTTATGTGTTTGTTTATCATGAGTCTCTTCCCAATAGGGCAGAGATCTTCCTTCTGTTCACTGCTCAGGGACAGGGCCTGACACATAGTAGGTGCTCAAGGGTAGGTGAAATGTAGTTAAGAAGCAATAGCAGAAACCAAAATTATGAGACCTTGATTGAATTAGCTTAACCTCCTTGAATCTGTCTTGTTAATTGAGGATGCTAGTACTGTATTTGCCTTGGGGAAGATTACATGAGCCAATTTATGTGAAGGCAGCACAGTGCCTGCTGGTCCTTGGGTGAAGCTTCATAAATGATAGTTATGATGATGATACTGCTGATCCTTGTGAGAAGGAAAAGATAAACCAAAATGGTAAAGCATTGTGGCTTTTTCCAAAATCTTTTATTAAAACATCTGCATTTTTTGCAGATTTTTTGTTGTGTTCCTCAAAGACAACTCCCCTTGGCCAATGTTAATAAATCCATCTATAAAGCTTAGTAAGATGGAAGATGAAACCCCTATTTCATTCACTCAGGGGCATAGTGTATCACACAGGACAATCTAGTGGAAGTCGTTGGTAGACAGTAGACATTAATGGTTGAGGGAGTCACATCTTAGGGGCCACTAATTACTGTTTTATACCAAAATATACATTTTTAACTTGACAACAATCTCAAGTCTCCTGGAAAAGGATTGATTATATTCAATATATGATGTTTACTAAGAAAGGACATGTTAAATATATATAAGAAAGATGCTCAATATTAAAATTTAAAGGAATGGACTTTATGAGTTAACCTTCAATTATCTGACATTTTATTCACTGATATTTACTTAGAGTTTATGTTGGTTTGGCTAATACTGAGCTCTCTAATAAGATGTAATGTCATAGAATACATTCCTTGTGCCAATTACAAATAAAAAATAGTTCAGATGACCAAGCCCTAACTTAAATATAGGGCCTTTGGTTGTTAAAGGTGACCAGGTGAGTGGTTAAATAGCTCAAGAAAAAGAAAGTCCAGCTATCTTAAGAACTGGGGTAAAACATCAAAGCCCTATTCTCTATGACAATAAGCAGGCAGTATGAAGAATGTCATAAATTTCATATTCTTTGGTTTATTAACAGAACATAAAGTTTCAATATAAGTAGAGTCTTGTGGATCGAGAAAGGAAAGATAAGTTATTATAAGCAAGTTCATGAAAAAATAGGGGAATTATGCTTAATGGTGTGTATATGTATACAGCTAGAAACATTTAGACTATTACAGTGAAAGTTCTTAAAGTGTCATGATTTTCATGTGTTATGAATGACATCAAATGACTCTTAAGGCATACGTTACAGAAAGGACAATCTTTAGAGATTATTATTTAGAAATAATTCTGTTTCTAAAAAATGCATTCTATGAATCTACAAGAAATGATTTTGTCATCTTATTTTACTATACTGTGAATGTGTTGAACACAGATTTTTAATGGAACAATTGTAGCTCTTTTAATGGAACAATTGCAAATGTTTATTAAAACATTTGCATTTTACTGTGAGTTTTTTGTTCTGTGCTCAGAACTGCTGTGGCCAACGTTAGTAAATCTACCTTTCTATTTCAGGAACTTGAAAAATTGAATAACGTAATGGGGTCTAATTGTGTTTACAGTCAACACAGTATTGATATAAGCAAAAGAAGGACACTTATGTTGCATAATAAGGTACTCAGCAATGCTTTGTGTTTCTGTTAACAAAGCTAAATTTATTTCTTCTTAGGAATAATGCAATTCCAAACCAAAAATTTGATGTCATTCTAATAAGTCTGCTTTCAGTTGTAGTACCATGAAGCCCTAGTAAAGATTAGCAAGAAATCTATTTTATTGTAGATAATAAATCTGAGAAGTAAACTCTCAGCATAGATTGAAGTTGATCTATGGAGTTGCTTTATAAATAGCCCTTTGAGCAAACTCTACAGTTCTGTATGTGGTTTTAAGTCACTGTAAATTTGTAGGCAGGTACATATTACAATTGTCTGTTTTTCTTTTTAGGGCTCATGTAATCAAAGAAGTTTCTTTGTTGTGTGTATCTTTACAGAACACAACAGGAATTGAAAATGAATCAGGTGAGTTTAAAAATAAGAATTTGTACAAATACGTGACCTAGATGTTAGACCAGCTCTTGATTTTTAAAAGATAGTAACACATATATTCCATTCCTCCCAGATTTTCATTTTTGTTTCTTAATACCATTAATTAGTTCATTGCTTTCATGTTGTGCATTTGTTCGTGGAGTGGAATGTGCATTGTTTTGGTGTGGGTTGGCATTTCTGTGAATCCCTGAGTAGAGGACTCATTCTTAGGGATTTTAGTTAAGACTTTTCTTTTTGACCTCTTCCCTGCCGCACTCCAGTGTGACTTGTTTTGTTTTTGTTTTGAAGCTTATTAAGCTTTCATTTTTAATACTTTTTATTTTGTAATTAACCATTGGTTGAAAAGAAACATTGAAAGTTATTTTTAGAAACCCCAGCCTATCCAATGAGAAACTTTAAGCATTTTGACCTTGAAAAATCTATTCATAAAATAAAAACTAGAGGGCAGATATTGAAATGTAAGATGTGTTTCTCTTTACAGGAGGGTGCGGGAATTACCTGGTATTTAAACTGTTCTGCTAAGGATATTTCTATAGCCTCAAGGGTGTTCTGATAAGTAGAACCAGTTATGTGGATCTAACATATTCTAGAGTAGGATTCTTATTTTCTGGTCTCAATATAATTTCATTCGCAGTTATAGAAATTCGTGGATGTCAGAAACATTCTCTTTTAAAAATCTTCATAAGCGTATTTTTTTAAAATACAAAGGACAAAATCTAAAACTGTGAAGTATATCATTTTTTTAGTCCTTACCTTAAAACTCTGACTTGAAAACATTTTGTTTCCCTCATCAACTGAAACTTTGGACACCTTTTTATTCTTTACAGGTGCTTCTAACTAGAGATCACAAGTAAAATTTAATCAGGTGGCCAAGTTTAATAAACTCAGTTCTGTGTTGCATTGAGAGATGTGAAATTTTTGGAAGGGGTTCTTTTGATATCTTTTCATTACTGTCTTTATCAGGAATATGTTTATTTTAATGCACAGGACTATACATCATAAAAAATGAATCTGGCGAACACATGGGGCACATGGTTTCTATTATTTTAAAACTTGCAGATTTACTGACATGCTTTTGAAGGCAAATTATTTTTGAAATAGTGAGAAGGGGGAGGGAAAAAAGACTGGAGTAGATTTTCACAATCATCATCCATCAAGTTATATGGATATAGATTTCATAGTTTTCATTTATTTTCCAATTTTAAGATTGATTCTTAACATGAACTGGGTGAACCAAAGGAGTCTGCTTTTCTGCTATTTAGAAGCTGTTGTCAGAGGAGTCTTGATTTTGGGTTAGAATGATCGTGAACACTTCCAAAGAGGAATGTAAATAGTGATATCATTCTTGTTGCATCACCGTTCAGCAGTCGTTTATTTGAGGTTCTTACATCTTTAACGTTAGGCTTAATTGTGTCTTAATTCTTGTACAGTATTAGGCTAGCAATATTTCTGATGTGTTTAGACTTGTTTGATACCTCACACTTTCGCTTTAATATTTCACTTACAACAAACAAACTTGTGTTTAAGAAAAGTCCGTATGCCATTCAGAAGAATTATAGCAATAACCATTTCTTTTTTGGCTCTTTTACAATTTCATTTTGCTCTTGACAAGTTTTAATATCATAAAACTTGCATAGGACTGTCTTTGATGCTGAATGCCAAATATCGGTGGAAAAGTGTCCTCTTATGTTTCTAATAGTTATCACATTTCTGATTTGAGTGTAATTTAAATGGTCTGGTAGTAATGCAACTTTCATTAGGACTATAAAAATTTTTCACTTTATATGAGTAAAAATTTCAGCATCTTTTGTTATAGTTTCATGATTTGAAGAATATTAATTGTATGCTATTTTAGGCTTGATTATTATGTCACAGCATGAAATCTATCAATGTTTTTTTTAACAATTATCTCAATAATTTTTAAAAATTAAGAATTACTTCATGATAGTTTATGGTTCTCCTCTCATTTTCAGCCAGTGAAAATGAGAAATAAATGCTTGAAAAACTTCACAATACCCCTACACAAAAATTCAGTTATAAAAAAGTTTGAACTTGAACAAGATTGACTTATAATTAAAATCCTAATGATGATTTTAAGGTTAGATTACCTTCTCTAGGAACTTACCAGCATTGCTTTGATGAATTTTAGCTGTCAAATCTCTCTCTTATGATAGATATGAGCTCTAAGACAATAGCACAGAATAATTTGTTAATATATACCTGCCATTTGAGTTTTAGGAACTGAAGGATCCTAGGCGTGAACATATGGTATTGTTTGCAAGTGATTGCTTTAGAAGAAGCAGTAGAGTCCAAAGCCTGCCAGCATTTAGGCACTGACTACTGAAGCCACATTCTGAACTGTGGTGCTCAGCAATATCAATGTGCTCCTGGTCCGTCCTGTATAGTAGCTCGCCAGGCCATCCCTCCACACCCAGCTCTGGGGCTCCACAAAGCTCACAGACCCATAGGCTCTCTCTCTTTTTCTTCCCTTCTGTTCTTCACTCAGAACCTACCCCTTTCTTAATATCTCTTAACCTTCTCAATTTAGAGCCCAGCTTGTTTTATACATGAGTCTTTGTTCCTTCTTATGGAACCCATGCCTGCTTGGAGCAGAAGGAGTAATCAGCGTACTTCCTCTCCCCCTTCATTTTCCCTTCTCTCCATTTTCAGGTCGTAGATGTCCTTTACTTCATTAACATCCCACACCCATCCTGATATTTAACTTATGAGATGTCCCACTATTTTCCTTCTTATTTTACTAGATTTATCTAGGAAAATTCAGAACTTTGTGTCTCTCTCATTGAATAAAGAATGTGGAATACTTTATAGAATGTCCAAGGCCAGCTAAGTTCCATAATGTAAATATGCTTGTAGTAGCTTAGATTAGGTATGCTAGAGCTTAATACCACTTGCTATCTATTGAGTGCTCACCAAACATGCCGATCTCTCTGTTAAGCGTTGTATAAACATTGTCTCATTAATTCAGTCTGTGTAACCACTCTAGAAAGTGCAGGTTATAACCTTCATTTTGTGGATGAAGACATTAAGGCCCAAAAAGGTGGCCATGGTTTTCCCGTTGATCACTCAAATAGTCAGTGAAAGAGATCTGATACAAACCCTGACCTGTCAGATTCCAGAGCCCAAGTTCTTGGTCACTGTGCTATACTGCTGTCAGTCAGGATAAGCTATGTTATGCTGAGGTAACAGGCAAGTCCAAAATCTCAGTGGCTTAACACAGCAGCAGTTTATTTCTTGTTCTTGCTCACATTGAGTGTGGATCACTGTGGGATTCTGCTGTTGTATTTGCTCAAGCACCAAGGGTATGAAGGCCTTGTCTCAATATGCAATACTTCTGGTTGCATTAATTGGCCACAGCTAAGTTACATGGGCACATCTAACCTAAAACTAAGGTTGGGGAGCAATGTAGTCCCATCATGTGCCTGGGAGGAGGAGAAGAGAACGGTGATATTTGGGGACAGCCTAATGATCTACTATATCTACCTTGATTACTAATTTATTGAGCCACACTTAGTTTTTTTTTTTTTTTAAAGAATTTTTGTGTAAGTCAAATTGTTATATGTAGTTTTCTATCAGTGTAGTGGCTTAGATCATAGCATTCTGCATCTTGATCAGTAATGTATGGTATTGCCATTAATGGGTAGCAAAACAATTTAGCCTTTGAAGCTTGTTTTAAGGACTAGTATAAGCTTTTAATAAGCTTTTAATCACTTGATGCTGTAAATCCAACCCTGAGAATTGTGATAAGCCATTTATAGTTTTATTATCTTAGTTGTCATGAATGTTCAATTTTTCCTTCCCTCATTCATCCTATATAGACTGCTTCTCAGTGTTGTGGGCTCTGCAGTGAACTAGGTAGGCATAGGCTCTGCAACTTACATACTCCTAGAGGAAGACAGTTAAAAAGCAGGAAGACAAGCAAAGTAATTTCTGACAGTAAAAAGTGCTGTGAAGACTATTAAACAAGATCCTGTGATAAAGGGTGGAGGCGGGAGGAGGTTCTCTGGCTTACGTGGTCAGAGAAGGCCTGGGGAAAGAAAATTCTAGGCAGGGCGAACACACAGTAAGTGCAAAGGCCCTGGTGTGGGAAGGAGCTTGGTGATTCAGGAACAGAAAGTAAGCCAGGGCCTAGAGTTTGGTCCCATCAGAGACTCTGGGAGAAGATGGCATTGGTGTGAGAGGAAAGGATAAGGTTTATAGGGTCTTATAGGGCCTTAAGGGCCACTGGGCATTGACCCAAGCTCATTTCCATTTTTAGGACATTACTCTTACTGCGCTATGGAGATTGAATTATAAGGGGCAAGAGTGTTGTAATATGTTTGTTAACTACTGAGATAAACACAATATTTTAGGACAGTTTCTTCAGTTGGACAACTTAATGTATTGGCCAGCTTTTGAAAGAGGGTACTTTTTTATATTGTATAACAAATTTTACTGCTGTTCCTTAGAAAGATGGTATATAAGATTTTCTTGTTCTGTGTTCCCACCTGTTTATTATTATTGCAGTTATATTCATTCCTTAACCAAATGCAATTTAATGCTATTTCAGTAAACTGAGGCTTATATGATTTTTTCCCCATTGTTTGCTCCAGAATAGTAGCTTAGTCTTGTTTGCACTTCTGAACAAAGAAGAGTTGTTCATAGAATTTTAGAGTGTTTTAATGCTTCATGATTCTTGTGCTTGTAACAATTACTATGGTGATGATTATTAATCTATTGTAGCAATAATATATATCTTAGTATGAATATACTGTAAAATGTCCTTGTTCAATAAATGGTGCTGCAAAAATTGGATAGCCACATGCAGAAGAATGAAACAGAATCCATATCTCTCATCACTCACAAAAATTAATTCAAGATGGATAAATGACTTAAATGTAAGGTATGAAACCATAAGAATTGTAGAAGAAAATGTTGGAAAAACTCTTCTAGATATTGGCCCAGACAAAGAATTT